TTGAGACATAAGTGATTGTTTTTTTTTAAAGAAGTGGCAGTTGAGTGATCTGAAACAAACTTTTGGCACTAAAGTGAGCGTCTTACACAACTTTTAGCATTTATAGTATCCTCCCCAATTCACACCTACCTGGACCATTTCAGCTACTTATGGGCAATGTTTCAACCCAGGGAATCTCCATTTCGTCTTAATTTAGTTGATTATCTCCTATTTGCGAGGAGGCAATGACATTATTAGCATTAACCTCATTCGAACAATCAAGAGGTGCATAGTTCGATTCCTCACATCTACAGCTCTCTCGAGCTCTCTTTAAATGTCAGCGAGTTGGGGAATGAGGAGACTTGTGTTGAATGTCATGTCACGCAAACAAATCGTGCACTTGCAAGAGGTTTTAATGACCTGCTTAGTTTTATGGTTAAGTTTGTTGTTCCTAGTGTACGATGTGATTATAAAGTAGGGTTAATATCATGAAAAACCCCAAACTAATACACTTGTGACAAATATACTCCAAATTAATTTTTTTACCACCAAAAACCCCAAACTGGTACACTTGTGACAAATTTACACAAAACTAATTTTTTATCACCAAAAATCCAAAATTGATACAATTGTGACAAATTTACCCTCCGTTAAATTGGATTAATACAAAAAAAATCACAAACTAATACACCTGTGACAAACGAAAGGCATAACCCCAAACTGGTACAACCGTCAACTGTAAAACCCCAAACTTGTCATTTAATTTAGTAATTTGACAGTAAAATTTAACGGAAACTAACGAAAGTTAAATTTGTCACAGATGTACTAGTTTAGGGTTTTTCGTGGTATTAACCTTATAAAGTATTGTATTTGTTTCAACGTTTCTAATGAACGTCCTAGTGTTTGCAAGTTTTTATTTATTTTGGTTCCAGTGAAGTTTCCTTCCAATGTTGGCATTTCAATTTTTTTTGACGTTGGTTGTCCATTAATTTCCTTAGTTTTGGCATTATCGTTTGTTTTCTTTAATTTCAAGCATTGTTTCTTTTATTTTTCTTCTAAGTTCCGGTCATTGCACTTCAATTCCAGGCACTTTACTTTTGTTAGTCATTTAGGTTTCGTTAGTTCCACATAAAATAACTTGCAGGAAAATGTTTTCCGGATTTTCCGGCTATCGGTTCACGGAAAATTAAGTAGTCAAGGAAAACATTTTCCACCAATGGAAAAAACACATTCAAAAGTAGGGAAAATGTTTACCACTTTTTAGAAAGCAAAAAACATTTTTCATATCTTCTTTCACCTCACTTTCTTTCATCTTAAAACACATTTTCCTTTTATTTTTATTTTTTCTTTTATTTTTCTTTTTTTTCTTCTTTAAAAAAATCAAGTTTTTAATTATTTTTTCTTTTTTCCTTTTCTTTCTTTTTCATTTTGCTTCTTCCTCGGTGAGCTCGAGCCTTGCCACAAGCCGGTGAGGCTCGAGCCTTGTGCCTCGCATCGAGCCTTGTGCAGCTCACCGAATTTGGCGAGGCGCAAGCTTGCCAGTCTTGGGCGAGCTCGACCTCATCGGCCTCGAGCGAGCTGGAGTCTCATCGGCCTGTGCCGAGGCTTGAGCTCGCTTGTGGCCGGTCACCGGCTAAGGAAGAAGCAAAAAGAAAAGAAAAGAAATAATTGAAAAAATTCAATTTTTTTGTAATTTTTTCAAAAAAAGTCAAATTAGATACCAAACTGCGAAAATATTTTCTAGTTCATTTTTAGGTTTCAACTCAACACCAGAAAATATTGTCATTTTCCTAGAAAATGACTTTCCGGAAAATATTTTCCAAAAATCTCACATTTTTCGTGAAATAAACGAAGCCTTAAATCGAAATTCTCTTTCAATAATGTTTGGCTCTCAGGAGTCGGGAGCCAGCGTGCTTCTCTCTCACAAATCCATCTCCATCAAATTTGAAAAACATGTCTAGTGGAAGTTTGGTCACTTTGTCCCGAACAAGAGAACAAGCTTTTTGATTGTTTTTCTAATTGCCGTTTTGTCAGGTCCCGCCTAGATCGATCTAGATTCAACAGTTCCTTAAAGCATGGTCACACGGTTCGAGCCCCATGACCAAGCTAGAGTAAGATCTGTTCGCCAAATGACAATTTGATGTCACAGACATCCGGATTTGTGTTTGCTTTGATACTTGGGGAGGTAGACCAATTCGTGAAAGGTCTTCGTTTCTCTCTTCTTCTTTTTCCTTTTTTAATTAGAACTGCAAATTATAGTATTACAGTATTTTCAACTCTCTCTCCCCTCCCCCGAAGCTGCTAAAAAAAAAAGACTTTGGAGTTTGGATTGCAGAGATAGCCCGTAATTTCAACTACTTTTCTTCTCCTTCCATTCACACCAACCAAACGTGATTCTCCTCCTTCCGAGAAAGAGATATCCCAATTGGAGTGACTTTCACGCCCATGGACAGACTTGGGTGCGCCGAACCAAAGCTCTTGAAACGCAGAAAAGCTAATCCGAAATCAGTCTGCACCAAAAGAAAAGCATCGTGTTATTGCAAAATGGTGTTCAAATTCCGAACCTTCAGCTTCTCCAATCCCACTGAGGACGACCCAGCACTCCCTAAAAGTTTTTCACTGCAGGAGCTTCAAGACGTGACACAAAATTTCAGCCGCGACATTGTCCTGGGCTGGGGTGAATTCGGCACGATTTACCGGGGATGCTTGGCCAATGGTTCTCAAGTGGCAGTCAAAAGGGCCAGGAATCTCGCACGGGGGACTGAGAAGCAGTTCAAAACAGTGATGGGAAGTGTCAAGCTTGATTTATTTGCATCCGAATGTGCTACGCCTGAGGGGCTTTTGCAGGACCAAGAAAGAGCTTTTACTGGTCTATCCCCCGATGGTCAGTAACAGCCTAGCATTTTACCTTAGAGATATATATATATTTTTGTCAGACACCTTAGAGATTTTGCTCAAGCGTTGCCTCTCCCCAGTGGCTACCTACAGGCTACAAAGATATTCTGGAGAGAGCAGTCGAAGTTGACCAGACCTTGAGAGCCTTGCACCAAGTACCCAACGGTAGAAGAAACCCCAGCTTAGGTCCGTTCATTTCGTGAAAAATATTTTTCTTATTTTCCGATGTTTGGCTCGCTTAGGAAAATAAGTCAATGAAAAATGTTTTCTTACCAAAACTTAAATTCAGGAATAATTTCCTTTTTGAAAAAATCGGAAAACGCTTTTAGAAAGTATCGGCGCTTGGACTCGAAAATCTACACTTGGACATGGAAAACCCGACGTTAGTTCTCGGGTCTCGGCATTCAGGTCTAGGTCTCCGACGGCCAGGCCCGGGACCATGGTGCTTGGGCCTAAGCCACCGACACCCACACCTGGGTCCATCAAGCAATAATTTTTAGAAAATGTCTTTCAAATCATTCATTTTCTGCGAAACAAACACAGTCTTAGAATACATTTATTTTAGGGAAAGTGTTTTTTGGGAATTTGTTTACCGGACTTTCACCTGTTTAGTTCGTAAAAAATGATAAATAAATGGAAAACACTTTCCGATCAAGGAAAACATTCATGTATAAAATTAGAAAAGTGATTTCCCTAATCTAAGAAGGTGAAAACACTTTCCGAAATTGCTTCCCTTGACTTTTTTTAATATTTTAATATTTTTATTTTTCCTTTTTTATTTTTAAAAATAAAAATATTAAAAAATCAGTTTTTTTTTTTTGCCCGAGATAGAATCATGGGATTGAAATCATTTTCTAAATGAGATCCAAACACCAGAAAATGTTTTCGATCACATATCACCAAATAAAGGAAAACTAACTATTTTCTTGGAAAATGATTTTTAGGAAAATATTTTCCAAAAACATTATGTTTTCAGTTAAACAAACGCACCCGTAAACCCATTTAGATATTTTGTATGCCGAAACCCATTTCGGTTGTACTTTCACCTTATCTACTTAAATGAAATGGAAGGATGCATTCTCGACCAAAAAAAAAAAAAAACGCACCCGTAAACTATGTTGCAATTTCCACAGCATAACGAGAGATGGACATGCGATTCTTTCGTTAAATGAAGATGAGGGGGATGATGCACATACCAAAAATATTGTGTACAAAGAAATTTTTTGACAAATTTCCCTTGGATAAAGTGATGATAGCTATTTTAAATACTTTTTTACAAAACTAATCTTTAGGTACCATCTGAATATTTTATACTCTATTTAAAGATCAATGAATGGAATACGCGTGGATCCCATGCATAGTACATGTATAAATTAGTGACATGAACTTTCTAAGTTCCTTCACAAAATATTTTTCAAAGGATGTACAAGAACATTATTAGTTTTTAAGTCACAAGATTTGACAAAATCAATTATGACAATCGCAATATGCCAAGAGTAGTTGTGCAGGGAGTTTACAAGGAAATGAACTCATGTCAAGTACTTTTGTCTCTTCCAATATTTGGTGAATCCTAACACCAGAAAAATCTAACAGAAATAAATCCCTATTTTTATTTATTTACAGTATCGACTGACTATATGTTTTATATCTATACCATATCATAGTAAAGATTTCTAGTTATTGTTAACGCATTTGTTTCTTGTTTCCAAGGATTATCTATTTAAAATGGAACATAGAGAAAAGAATAATGATCTAAAATTAACACTAGTATTTCCACTGATATAGCAAATTTTCCATTGAAATTGCAATATGATTAGTCGACATAGAACGGACGTGTTTCAAATACGAGTAATTAGAAGTATGGATGTTCTATGATACGCAAAAGTTAATAGGTTTTTCATGTGATGTACAGCCCATGTAGTAAAGAAGAAGGGCTGGTGCTCTTCACATTTGGATTTTTTAATGCGTAGGAATCCAAGAAATCTAGGAGAATTATGCAAAATTTGCTTTATATGAGTGGCACGTTTTGTCAAATTTGGAAGCTTCGAGGAAATGAAACCTCTCTCGCTCTCTCTCTTTCCACGAAGCTGCTGCTCACAGGAAGGCTTTGGAGTGAGATGGCCCCACACATTGACATCGGCCTACAATCCAACGACTTTTCCTTACCACTTCATTCATTCACACCGACCCAAAGCAGTCGTGGGTGAGACAGGCACAATCCCAACTGGAGTTATAAACACTTCTGTGTACAAGCAAAGTCTCTTCGGAATTGCAGAAGGTATTCCCAACCCAATCATTACCAATCGAGAAAAATCATCAAGGTCGTCCATTTGTACTTGAGAAGGATCTACTTTTTCCCCGCTTAAAGATGGTGTTCAATCTCCGAACCTACAGTTTTTCCGAGTCCGTTGAAGATGATCCAACACCTCCTAAAAGCTTCTGTCTAAAGGAGCTCCGAGTCGCGACAGACAACTTTAGGCGGGACAACGTCTTGGCGGAAAATGTACTCCGCAAAGTTTATCGGGGGCACTTGGCCGATGGTTCGCTAGTGGCAATAAAGAGCTCTGTCAGTTCGTGGGGGAAAGAGGGGTTCGAAGTAGAAGTGCAAGTGGGAAGCGCAGTTTCGACGCACCCAAACGTGCTATGCCTGAGGGGCTTTTGCAGGACCAAGAAAGAGCTCTTACTGGTGTATCCCCTGATGATCAACAATACCCTATCTTACAATCTTAGACATAGACCTGATCGGTTTGTCCGACCTCTCGATTGGACTACTTGCAAGCGAATAGCCTTAGGAGCAGCAAGGGGGCTTGCCCACCTTCACAATCAAGGTAGCACCAAGATCATGCATCGCGACATCTGTGCATCAAATATACTGCTGAATGCACATTTTGAGGCCGTGATAGGAGGATTTCCGCTTGCCGTGATCATGCATGAGGGAAATGTAGAGGAAGGGAATATTGAGTGGCTCTCGTTCTCATCATACTCTCATCGCTATGAAGATGCCGTCACTTCCATCCGTGGCACACGTGGGTTTGTTGCCCCCGAGTTCTTGGATACAAGAAAGTGCACACTGAAGAATGATGTCTTTGCATACGGGAATATGCTTCTCGAGCTCATCTCAGGACAGTCAAATTATGAACTTGTTGTGCTGGCGGATAATGAAAATCTCAGTTTGGAGGAATGGATTGATGATATTATAAACAGGAACGAGTTGGGCAGGGTGATCGATCCGAATTTGCAGGAAAACTTCATGGAAGAAGAAGCAGAGCAAGTACTTCGATTGGCACTGTTGTGCTCACACGAGGATCCATCTACTCGACCAGAGATGTCTGAAGTGGTTCGAATTCTCGAAAGCCAGTTTCTCCAGCGGGACCCTAGTTCAAGGAGTAGTTGGAGTCAAAGTGAGTGTGACTCAACTCCGTACTACTCTTTCCCTCCTTCTCCTCCTCTGGGGATTGCTATATGATTGGCATGTCAATGCTACATCATCACCACTGCCTTTTACCTTCAATAACAAGTTTATCTTCTGTGTTTATCTCTTTAAACTCTATATGTTCCTCTTCACTTTCATTTGTCTTATCTTTTTGTAATACTTTCCTCCGGTTTTTTTTAGACGTATAGCACATCCTTCATGCAATGAATGCTATCTTCCACATTTGTCGTCGAATTGAATACTAGAAACTGAACTAATAATTCGAAGTGTCACCTCTTAACCTATCAAATTAATGGTGAATAAATGTTTAAGTTAGCAAGAAAGTTCTATTGTTCTAATGAAAATTAAAGGCCACAATAAAGTCGTCCTTAGAAGGCATTCGTAAGATCAGTTGCACGTGCGTCTTCGTGCACATGCATCAATCCTCGTATATGAAAGAAAATCCAAGTTATTGGCACTTTGATTCTCGGCCTGCATCTTTCAAATTTGTTTCTCTGCTTTCAGAGGAGGATATGGCTAGACTAGTTGGCTTTGACTTTCTTCTCTGCGAAATTAACTCAGCTGGAGCTTTCAAGAATTTTCTCGGGTGATGGGAGTCATCAATACGAAACAACATTGCACATCAACTTCTTGTAGGCTCAAGTTGGGACTTTTCGAATCGGGTATACACTTTCCACAATTCACACTTACCCGGGCCATTTCGGCTAATTCTGGGCAACGTTTTAACCCGAGGAATCTCCTTTTCGTCTTAATTTACTCGATTCTCTCCGATTGTAGGGAGGCAATGACAAGAGCAATGACATCATTAGCCTTAACCTCAAATGATTAAGAGGTGCATAGTTCGGTTCTTCGCATTTACAACTCTCTCAAGCTCTCACTGACTGTCAACGAGTTGGGGAATGAGGACTTGTGCTGAGTGTCGTGCTGTGCAAACGGATCATGCACTTGTGAGAGGTTTTAACGACCGGCTCAATTGCGCAGTTGTGCATTTCCTTCGTATCTTAAAAAAAAAAAAAGCCCAGGCAAGGTATTGTGCTTCCTATTAAATTGAATTTTATTTTCAATGAATTTAAAGATAAACCGATCTCAAATTTGTTTCAACCTGATTGATGTTCTAGCAATTCTTTGGCGGAAATCATCCGTTTGGCTCATTGCAACCAGTTTTAAGAGATCAAGGACAATGCCTATTTGAGATTTTTGTGAGACGATAATTAGTTTGTGTTATATGTATCATGGGAATTTAGAATCTTTAATGGTATTAATCCCTAAAATGGATCAATTCAATACTCTTTTATTGCGGGATCCATCTAACTATAGGTTCAGGTGTACTAATGCAGATGCAGCCGATAAAGCCTGATGATGATTCATCTGGACATGGAGTAGAGTAGAATGTCAACAAATTTGAAAATCGCAGGATAGAAAGCCATTGAATTGTATTCCTCAATTCCTTGGTTCATAAACAAGTTGGAGGTTTCCTTTTCTAGATGGAGAAAGAAATTGGTGGTCCTTTTGTCACTCTAGAGACATATTTGTCTTTCGTGAGTCAACAGCGTCTATTACGGGATGAATTGACTTCTTTGATTCTTTCTTGATAAGTTAGTATGCGGTAGACTTTGCAATATCTTCACAGGACGCGCCATTTTCTATGGAGGTAAGTTTCAAAAAAAGTGTCCATCATCTCCTTCTTCAATCACTCCGTGTAGAATTCTTCTTGGTGATGAACTCCTTCAAACCATCCTTCTCCTCATTTCCCTTTTGTTATTTGTCCTTAATATAAGCAGAAGACCCCTTTCGTGGCCCTTTATGTATGAAATTTTGTGTCCGGACCCTGTCAAGTCAACCATATTTGTAGGATTATTAGGTCATGAGCTTGTCTCTTGATACAATTAGTTGTGAATTAACTTAGAATCTAATGGATCTTACACTTCATTATGTGAAATAAAAGGTTGAAAGACGAGAAATTAAAAGTAAGAGAGCTTGTTGTTGTAGAGTATGCGACTCGTTTTAATCAGCTAAGCAGATCTGCAAAGAACACTGTCGTGGAAGAAAAAGACCGGGTCGATCACTTTGAGCGCGGCTCCAACTAATGATTCTTTCAAGCCTTTCTTCTCACTTGCTGACTACCTGAAAAAATGATCTGGAAAGAGCACTCAAAGTTAACCAGGACCTTGAGTGCAGTGCACGGACTAGACAACAGTAGAAGGAAGTGTATGAAACAATCTGACTCGTTCACGTAACGACAGCCTTCTTGAAGCAATAGCCAGATCTACACACCCCGATTTTGAAAGGAAGTTTTCGGATTCTAACAACTTGAAGGAAAGAGATATTCTTACTCCAAGGAATAAGACAGTGGACGAAATAAATCCACACATAATGGATCTCCTTTCACATGAAGACGTGGCTCGAAGTAGCAATGCTTGTTATGTGACTATGAAACATTAATCCGACTTTGGGTTAATGCAACAACGCTAAGACATTGTCGCTGTAATAATTGGGCCATAGCCCATGGGCCCAAACTCAGCCCACCTAATAGCTCTCAAATCCCGCAGGAGCTGTGAAGAAAGAGGAAGGAAAGAAGAAAAGAGAGGAGACAGAAAGCTCCAGAAAACAAGAACGAAAGAAAGAAGAGAAAAGGGAATTCACGCGTGCACGCTTTGGACATCCCGATAAATCGTATCAACTCCATTTTGCAGTGCCTAGTAAGGATTCAAGTCATATTTACTTATGTAACCGGAGGAATTTTCGGAATTAAGTCATAAATCTGGATCCATGTGAAGGGAGTTTACAAGGAAGATGAACTCATATGAAGCACTTTTGTCTCTTCCAACATTTGGTCAACACTAACGCCAAAAAGATCTAACAAAATAAATCCCAATTTTCATATATTTGTTGTATCGACGGATTTTAAGTTTTATGTCTCTTTACTAATTCATAGCAAAGAGTTCTACTTATTTTTTTAATGCATTCGTTTCTTGTTTCCAAGGATAATTTATTCAAAATTGAGCTAGAGAAACAGAATAATGATGTAAAATTAATACTAGTATGTCCACTAATATAGAAAATTTTCCATTGAAATTGCAATAATATGATCAATCGACATATAGCCCCCGTGTTCCAAATACCAGTAATTAGAAGTTAGGATCTTAAAGAATATGCAAAAGTTAATAACGTATGGCCAATGTAGTAAAGAAAAAGTTGTTTTTCAATGCGTAGGAATCCAAGAATACTAGGAGAATTATGCAAAGTGTGCTTCACATGAGTTGCACTTTGGATAAAATTTGGAAGCTTCGAGGCAATGAAACCTCTCTCGCTCTCTTTGCCCGAAGCTTCGAGGCAAAAATTGCTTTACATGAACTGCTCACAGGACGGCTTTGGAGTGAGACGCTCCACACTTTGATTTTATTCATTCACGCGGACCAAAAAGCAGTCGTCGGAGAGACGCGCACAATCCCAACTGGAGTTATATAACCTGTGTACAAGGAAGTCTCTTTAAGTATGCAGAAGACATTTCCGACCAATCACTTCCAATCGAGAAAACTGTAATATTCGGGTATTTACAAAGGACAAAAAAAATTAAAAGTCAAAAAGTATCTACAGTGGACGCTCGGCTCTTCTTTTTAACCGAGAGCTTGCACATAGCAGGGAAGAGAAGAGAAGACAAGAAAGAAAAAGAGAGAAAGGGAAAGAAAAGGAAGAAGAAGAAAGAGGAAAGGCTCACGTCACCAGAGCCTCGCCAGCTCGGATCAACTTCGTATTGCAACATCCGGTAAGCATTCGCGTCCCTCGTTCATCCGATCGGAGAAGTTTTCAGAGTTAGGATTTTAATTCGGAATTTTGGGAAATTCAAGCCGCGAAGTCCGATTTTTGAGTCGTTGAGCTGAGTATTTTTATAGAATTAGTAGTTTAGAGTGTTGTGGAGCCGTGGGATTTTACGGATCTTGATTTAGACTTGCGGTTTGCCTAATATGAATTTTTGAAGTTGGCCGCGCAAGGTGAACAGTGCGCGACCAGCGGCTTTTAGGCTGATTTTTGTCGGTTTTCGGCTTGATTTTGAGACGGCCAAGTTGGGGTTCTTGTAGTGCTCTGAGTGGGCTTTCTATTGACTATAAGCTCGCTTGAAACGAGGTTTGGTGGACGAATTTACGGTGCGATCAAGTTTAGCGTTCAAACTCCGCGTTGCGGATGGTTTGGATAATCGCTTTGGAGAAGCGATTTGTGGGCGCCTTTGAGTTGTCTTGTTAGCGTTTAAGCGTCGTTTAGCCGTTTCATAGTTTTTTTTACTTGGTTTTGATGTCAATTCTCGTTTAATTGTTAGGATTATGAGATCGTCAATTCGAGTGAGCGTGTTTGTTTGATTTTTGGGGATTCCAAGTGAGTGGTGTTATCTCTTCTTTGGTTTTATAAAAATCATATCTCGAAGGAATTATGATTCGATATAAATATATATGTTGAACTTAAAGGAGTATTTTGTTGCATAAATTGGGATTGAGCATTTACTACTTTTTAATATTTGAGAATGATTTGGGAATCGTTTTTGTAAATGTATTGTGCAAGGTTACATATGTATATTGCGTTATGAACTAGTTTATGAAATGACTTCGGAAATGATTCAAGAAATGCCAAAATGTATTTCTGGAGGTTGAGCCGTGTTGCAAGAAAGTTATTTGTTTGGTTTGTGAAATGTATTTTGGATTGGATTTCTGATATTGGATGATGATTGTTTGATGCTCAATATGACTGTGAACCCATTGAGGGGTTTTGGGGTATGCATACCGGGTTTAGGATATCCTTCTGGGCCGAGCCACCGACTTTGTAGGTGAAGACCTTGCCAAGGGGGAATCTTGGGAGAATCTTGGTAGCATTGTCACAAGACTTTATGTCGTGACCATGGTTAGATATAGATTGGTCGATGGAATGGACCATTGACGTTTGATATGATATGAGATTCATCAATGGAATAGACCATTGATGTGTGATTTGAGATTAGTCAATAGAATGGACCATTGATGTGGTTTTTATAGAGATTGATCAATGGACTTGACCATTGATAGTTTGAATTGTGATGGTGGATTTAAATATGTATTTGTGACTTGTACAAAGTTTTGATGAAAT